ACCACATCATATCATAAGACAGAACAGTAGTGTAGCCATTAATATGTGTATTCAGTTCTGTCCATCTACTTTCTAACTGTTTAATCCAATTCAGGGCTGCAGGTCAGCTGGAGCCAAACACTACTAGTTGGACTGAGAGGAAACTAGAACACCTGGAAGGAACCTACATGAACACAGGAAGAACATCTGAACTCCACACAGATAGCACCCAAGGAATCAAACCCAGGGTTCCAGCACTGTAAGGCAGCAATGTTAACCACTGCGCCACAGTGATGCCCTAGTTGATTTCAATTTCACGGATACATTTGTAATTGGGGAAAACTTTGCAAAATATCTAGGGAAAGGAACAGCTCATTGCCATTAGCAGCAGAGCAAGATAAAGGAAACATAAAGAATAGAAATTAAATCTGATATTCTCTACTTTAACCTCATATTCATCTTTTCATCTGAAATACAAATGACTATAGTACATAGCAAAAATGAAAAATCTAACGTCACTGTCTCGATAGTAATGTTCATCACTATACATTTTTTGGGGTTAGACTTGTAGTTCATTATAGTCTCTTTACGTGTGTACTGTTCTTTCATGTGTCTTTAAAGTGCTTTCTTTTTCCTTATATATTTTTCATATTTGATTTATTAAACTCCCTTAGGCCCCAATTGCTTTCTAGCATCTGATTCACTTGCTCATGTGAAGAATCTGTTCAGTGCTACAGGGCAGAACTTTCTTATTCTTGTAGCCATCCATTCAGTAGCCATGTTTAGCCTATCCCATTCTACTTCTCTTCCATTCATCCTTTTTCCAACTTTTATCCAATACTGGGTAGTGGGGGAGCCAGAACATATTCTGACAAGCAACGGGCTCAAGGCGGGGTACACATTGAACAGGACACCCGTCCATCATAGAGCACACACAGACACAAACATGCAGTCACACCAAGGCCAGTTAACGTACCACCATGTCTTTGAACTGCAGGAGGAAACTGGAGCACCCAGAGGAAACCCACACGAAAGTGTGGAGAACAAACAATATCCATGCAGAGAGCACCCAAGTAAAAACCTAGAGTCCCCATGCTGCAGGCAGCAGTGCTAGCCACTGTGGCACACTGTTAACCTATTTGTATTTAATTTGATGGATTTTTTTTCCAAGTTCTCTGGGATGATTGAAGATGATGACAAAGCTGAATGTCAACGATCTGACCTGATGGTGTTTCAGTGGATGGTTGCTAAGGATTCAAAATTTTGAATTTTTCTTTTGATACTGCTTTGTTTACATTTTCCTTGTAGAGTTTCTTTGAATTGTCTTGTTTCTGTTGTAGCTTAACTGTTCTCCAGTTTCTCAGAAGATTCTTTACCTGATCCAATCAGATCAGATCATTTTTCAATGACTCCATTGTGACTGTACCAAGGGCACTTGCTGTAGAAATGTTTCCAGTGGCGGGGACTGCTGGCTTGTCCTCCCATGTCCTCATAGCTGGTACTGTTTTTTGGTTAGTTAGCTTTACAGAGCTTGTCCTCAGCCTCATGTTATGCATAAGAATGAACAATTAGTTGTATGAACACAGGAGTCCTGAGAAAACCTGTCCTGCTTTCCACTGTGTTTAAATTTATTTCACATGGAAAGTGTGCTGTTAATGGCAATGTCATTTGTTGCAATATGAGAAAAAAGAACTAGGTCTTCCATCTCCTAGAAGCCTGTCTGTTCTTTGGATGATGCCATCCACTTTGGCTCTGTAGGTTATTCAAGTCCCTTGATAAACATCTCACTTGTAGTGTCCCTGATCATAATGGCTAAAAACTACAATAAATGTTGACTTTGAGGCTTAAAAGTCATACAAATCATTCCTGTCTGTAAAAACACTTAATTTCCAACTTTAAAAAGATTATTTTATGAGCTGTGGGGTGGAGTCTGTGCTCTTTCAGGTGGGCCAGGTCTTGGGAAACAAACAAAAGTTAGACGATACAAAACAAGGTTTAATTTACAGTGCAGGAGCTAGTACACAAACCAAAGTCTAGCTCTAACTAGACTTATCCATTTTCCTCTCTAAAAACCAGCTGATTACTGAGTGCTGAACACAGTCCAAACCCGTTATTTCAGGCCCACGCTTTCCACACCATCTGTCTCCTGAGCACCGTCTACCGTGTCTTTCAGAAGAGGACGTGCTTCCTTATCACATACTGTAACTGCCAGCTCTCCTAGGAAGCCTTCACTCCTGTACCATCACAGACTTGGCCACTGTTACAAACCCAGGCTCAGGGTGCCGGAGAGGAGAATAATGGACTGCATGAACTTGCACAGCTGCCTGGTGCTTCTGAGGCAGGACGGATGTAGCAGGACGGTACTGTTGTCATTATCATAATAAGCCTCCTTTCAAAAAGAACAAACATTATTGTCGTGGAGCTTAATTAATTTGCATTAGTATGCTTTTCCTACTGTGGCAGTGGAACACACCTCCCACTGCACTCCCCACTCCGCGGCGTGTGGGAATGTGCAGCTACCAAACCGGAGGTTAATCAGGGCTGCGCCCATAGACCGTGTTCAGCTTTGAACCGAATGTGTTTCCAAGCCGGCTACACAAAAATTGCGCTGATCTAAAAGACGCTCTATTCTCCTCGTTCAAAAAGGATTCTCTCCAATACCAGAGAACAGAAACCTCCGCAGACAACTTACACACCGGCATACCTCACAGAAATAACAAGTGCTCTGCCGGTACTCAGGCACGATCACACAACTTAAAACTTTTCCTTCTTTCGCCACCGATGCCACTTCTTCTCATATTACTTCATGCTTTCTTGATCTCAGTGCCAATCCAGTAACATCTACATGCAAAACAATAAAAGTAAATTATTCTATTTGTTTTTAACTTTCAATTTCTTTTTTCCTAAGATGCGTGGAACCATAATGACTCAATATTTCCGATTAAATTTCCTGCACTAGCTGGTGTACTAGCTGCAATTTCCCTCACGGGATCAATAAAGTATCTACTGTATCTATCTAAATGACTTTCAGTAATAGGTATTTTCTAACTGTTAAATGAAAATATATATATATAAATTAAGCTGGCAACTTCTGAAAGTCTGACTCCACTACAGCATAGTAATGGGAACATGCACAAAAGAAGACTGCACCCCAGTTTTGGTGCAAGTCACCAGACGTTACAAGTGTTTATTTCCAGTCTTTGGAAGATATCATCCTTGCAAGACTTCACGTGTTAGGAACATAAATAAGTTAAATAGCAGCTCAAATATCAGTCAGTTCTGATAGCAGCTGGAGTACAATGTAAACAAGTCTAATAATGAAACCTCCCATATGATCAGCAAGTAATGTATGGAGCACAATCACGTGGCATGTCTCATTTTCTGTGAGCAATGTGGTGATGAAGGAAATGGGAAGATGACCTACACGACATAAAACATGCGTACATTTTCAACTTCTACTCACAGCTAGAATAAATCGAAACCCCAAACACCAAATTCAGACTTTTCACCCTGAATTCTTGAGTTAGACAACCCTGCTGCTCGGTGAGATTTCCACTGATTTTTTTTTTCCAAAGGGATGTACACTCATTTTAAAGTGCATATTTATAATCCAAACTTCAATCAAGTTAAAATTTTAATAGGCGAAATAATTAATACCAGCAATGACAAGTTAATACCAAAAACTAAAATTGATTGATTGTATCTAATTATGCATTCAAGTTATTTTTTGCAGTTCCTGGAGACACACTCTTTGAAGGTGCCAATAAATACGGAGACTGTCCTTATCAATCAACTTACACTTTTCCAGCTACTGTAGATGTGCCTTTGCCCCAGACGGCCTAGAAAAGAATATTTCTGAAATATCCAAATTATCTTGTCCTCTAATCTGCATCAGGAACTTCATGGTGCACTTACATTAGAAATCTTTTTGAAAAATAAAAAGGGTTAACACAGCAGCTTTTTTCTTCAAACTACCGGGAGTGTACCACTGTAAAAATAAACCTCCTTCTGGGTATGAAAGACCAGCCGCTCAGTTCTACACATACAATGCACATATATCAGCAGGGTGCACAATAAGATGAAGGTTGACGAAAAAAGACATGGTAAATTGCCAGCAGGTCTTCATAAATCACAGGTCAAGATGCCATATAACAGCATGGCAAAGTGAGAGATGAATGTCAGCAACAGCTCCGACAGCTGCAGTACCTCCTAGTCTGATCTCAGCAGGTGGGCCTGATTAGTACCTGGGAGAGGAGATTCAGAAGGGAAACCAGGTTGCTGCTGTCAGTAGTGTTGGTGAATCAGTAGGCGGTGCTCTTTCCTTGGAGCATCCATTCATTTTCTAAACACTTCTTCCAATTCAAGGCCAGGGGGGTGACAGAGCCACGGGCACAAGGCAGGGTCCACCTTGGGTCAGACGCCAGTTCATCACAGAGTACACACAGACACAGACAAGCACACACACCAGGGCCAGATTTCCAAGAAGCTGAATTACCTGCCAGTATATCTTTGTTCTGTGGGAGGAAAACGGGGCACCCAGAGGAAACCCATGCAAACACAGGGAGAACATGCAAACTCCACGCACAGAGGACCCCAGTGCTTTGAAGCAACAATGCTAACCAATGCACCACCAATTCCACCCCCCAGACCACAATTTCTAAATCAATGCCTACATATGGTGACCAGGGAGCTGTGCTGTATCCTGGCTCAAGTCTATCTGATGCTTCTACAGTCTGGTCAGTATATTTATTTATTGCCAAATGTGAGAGATACTTTGGGAAACTTAGGAATAAAAAGTGTTATACAAAGTCAAGGAACTGATGAGCATGGCTTTACCTATGTAAACCTTTTGTAAACAACTTTATCTGAAACAAGCATAACACGTTTTGGATTGCCTTTCCCCCATTTGCAGAGAAAACGCAGGCGAATGAAGCAAACCCAGTAATTACACTGTCCCGGATGGAAAACAAAGTGTTTACACAGCTTGAACAACACGCCCGGGAGAAGAAAAGAGGAACACCAACAGATAACAAGAAGGTTTATATTCAGGAATGATTAGAATCAATCTCTGCAAGTTTCAAACTGCCTGCTTTTTAAACTACTTAATTCAGACAATGCAGGATTCCAGAGAAAAGACAAATGAATCACAATTTCAGTAGTGAAAAGCTTGCATGTACAAATGAGCATATTTTCTTTGCAGTTTCTTTATACCTTAGCAAGAAGTCAGATCCCTGAAAAAAAATAAATACAATTTTTTAAAGAGCAATAAAAAGGTGCAGTGCTTTTCTTTTTTTAAATAGCCTGGTTTCTGACCTCCAGCCACAACTTCAAAGAAATCCCATAAACAAATTGGTAACAAAGTGCAGAATATATCTGAAGCCGTTGCGACGCACCACTTTCATTCAATTATTAAAGAACTGGTGCAGGCAGCCTGTACCACAGATCTGTGGCTGTACCACTTTTCTGTATCCTATATCCACAGCTCTCACACCTGTTATCTTTCTGTTCCAATTATCCTCCTTCTATCATCAAAATACTGAGTATTGTCCAAGTGCCTCTGTTTCAGGCTTACAACAGAAAGCACAATCAGTGAATTAGCCACTCACTGTTGGGGTTTCCCAACCTCTGAAGTCAAAAACCCTAAAATAATCTAACATTTCCTTCTCTACAACACATTAAAACATAGCTAACACCCAAAACTCATTTAAAAAATAACTTTTCTAAATTCCACATCTCTGTTTTAAACAAAGCCATAGCATAAAAATAAAATTATTTTGAAACACACAATTAAAAGAGGGAAAAGATTACAAATATTTATAATATATATTGTATAAATAAATTAAAAAAAACATATGAAGCTATATATCTTCTAAATTAAGTGCCATCAGTGGAGCCCTGGACCATATTCAGTAGCTGGTCTGCCAGCTCATCATGTCAGTTGCCTCTAATGTCATCCAGTTCTGTCACCCGCTGACTTCAGAAGTCCAGAGGTGTCAGGTCCCCAAAGTCGCAGTCAAAGAGTTCACTGATGCCCTCTCCCTCCCCAAGCCCGAAGTGGTAGCTGTGAGGCTGCGGGGGCGACAGGTTGATGAAACTGTCCAAAGGGAGTGAGGAGAACTCCTCAAAATGCCGTTCCAGCAGGTAATCAGAAGACGTCAGGGGTGAAAGGTCGAAGTCAGGCAGTGCTCCCAGGTGAGGAAATGCGTCTCCAGTCAGCAGCGTCTCTGTGGAGGGAAGGGACAGGATCCAGGAGTCAGCTGGTCTGTCAGGAGCAGCGACACAGCAGGCAAAAACCAAACTAGCAGGCGACGGTGTTTCAGAGGAAAGTGACAATTCACGTTAAGCCTTGGCCAAAAACCTCTTGCTCAAAAAGTGCTTAATTCACACAGCTTCAAAAACAGCTGCACCTGACTTTTCTAGAAGCACTACATTCATAGATAGATAATCAGCAAACCAGAGGGCTTACCAGAAAGCATATAAAAACAATCGACATAGAAGGAAATTAGACGAGGTCAAACCTGTCGCCCAAATGTTCATTAATAAAATTCACATGCAAAACGTTTAGAACCTCAATCAAATTGTAGTCGTGAACAGAGAAGCTATAAGGGAACTTCCACCGTTCCTCTAGAGCAATGACACATGCAACACAACAGACTTCTTCAAATGAACAATGGAACATAATCCAGAGGGCACAGTTATGTGGATACCCATTTATATACAGTATATTAAACATCAGACACTTCCACAACCATTTGGGTAAAGAAGGATGAACAAGCCGCCCAGCTGTGACGTTGAAACTGATATTCTGTATGGTTTTTCCAAGAAATGGCTCAACAAGATACTTACATCAATTATCATCAACTATCAAACAGGCTAGATGGGTCAAATGGACTCATCGCTTATGTTCTTTAACTGACACCACAGAATTTTCATGGGTTAACAGTTTGCTGGTTTTCTCAGTTTTACCACAATGAACACATATTTTTACCTGAATAACTTCATTACTTCTTGCTGTATATTTTGTAAAGAGATATTCCAAATCGCAATGACCAAAATACATGAGGGTGAATAATCGTGTATTAAACACAAATAATTTCAGGTACTGCTGAAATACTTATTGAAGTTGAAATCTTACGTTGACTGCTCATTCACTGCTTTTCTGCTAATGAGGGAAAGGGAAGAGGGAACTCAGTGCCACAATGCAGGAACAGGACTGGCCTTACAGTAGGGAGTCACCTGAGCTGCTATATTCTAGAGGGCATTAAATACAATCTTTTAGGTAAATATTAAGATAACACGTTCATCTGTAACAACAAGTTTGTTGTTGATGTAATTTTAGAAATCAAAGGGGAAGGGCTCGTTTAAAATGAATGCAAATATGAAAAAATGGAGTGGAAAGCCTCTGATTTCTGAAGATCTCTGAAGATCTGATCTTTTTCCAGCCCTAATCCCCCACAATGTGGGGCTGCCATAGGTCAGATCATGGAAAGAGGGCCAGGAGTGTCCACAGCTCTGGCCCACGCCTGTCAGGGAGTGACATACAAGTCGTCCCAGGGTTGTGCTTTCCCTAAGGCAGGCCCCTTAAGCAATGCAAGGTTTGTGCGACAGTTCTGGCTCACATTAATCTGTCCATGTAACACGATTGATACCCTGTGAGCACTGTACTGCACAAAGCAACTGAAAAAATACCCTGTAGTTTAAATACCTTCTACCATTAGCTCAGTGACTTAGTATTTAGAGTTGTTTACTAAACCTACAGTACTATGACTATTATGTAAAAGATGCATACATGTAGGCGCTGTTCATTTTGCAAACGAGTTACCATCTCTCAAATCTTACTGTTAAATCTGCGGTCTCTCCAGTTTAGGAACTCACCGGTTTCACCTGTCAGTGTCAGGGGAGCCACTTCCTGAGCGCCTGATGTCACTTCCTGTGAGCTGCTGCTCTGAGGCGGCTCTGTGAGGCCTGCAGAGCTCACAGGGGCAGGTGACGGCATCTGACTGGCTGCTTTGGAGGGACTGTTGCCAGTCACTGGGCTGCAAACTCCAACGCGGTCTTCTGGACAGAGGAAGACATCAATAGGGCCTTGGGTGCTTTTCAGAGAGATCTGGAACCCCTGCAGGCACATTGGAAGAGCAGGAATAAAGGACTGGACACGCCAACAATGGTGGCACAGCTCCGACATGACACTAGTAATTTAGAGCTTAGTCCAGTTTCCACAGTGTTATGCAGCTATCCTGTAATTTACATGAAAGATGAAAAAAATCCAAAAAGGCCAATCAACTGCTGAGTGTAAACCGACTTCAAAACTAAAAGAAACATTTAAACGTACCATTTCACTTTATTATTGTTTTGAAAGTGAACCCACCTGCAACAGACTGAATAACAACTGCAGAACTAATCAAACAGAACACAAAACAGCCCTTTGTCACATGCCCAGTCAAGTGTTGCATCACTTTGTCTCACTTCTGGTGTAACATGTTACAGCGGATCACTGTAGGGGAACAACAGTTTGGCACCTGTTGTCAAAGCAGCACATTGTGCAACTCAAAGTGTGCTCAAACAGGATCTACTAGGTCAACTGCTAGAGTGAGCTGTCATGTTACACTCTCACCAGCAGATGGCACTAAGCCATTAGACATGAAAAATCTCAAAAGTGTCAGAAGTGCATCTTCAATATAAAATATATGCAAAGAGAGCTTTTCATTCTAGTGGATGCCTAAGAATTTAACATATAGAAGGGGACCCACTTCATCCACCACTGAAGTGCAGCCCCACTTTGGTGACACACAGCAGGCATTCTGCAATAAATTTTCCACTGCACAGCAGATCAAATAGAAAGTTTGAAATTGCTCCACCAATGAATTCAAGAAGTAAACTGAGGGAGTTTTGTACAAATCCAAACTACATCATTGGCACTAAGACCACTACTCTTACAAAACAATGCCGTGGGATCTTTAATGACCAAGTAGTTGGCACCTTTATTCAATGTGTCATAGAAAGGGTGGCACTTACTACAGCACAGTGTGCCTGGTCAGTGTACTGAGGCACTGGTTTGGAAATTCTGGCTCACCAACACCACCTGAAGCAACTACCTGACTCTCCTTAGATAATAAATCCCATTACTAACCAGTCTTGCGTGTCAGCCTTGCTGAACTTCTGAGACCTCATAAAATCAGGCTACAGGACAGCAAAACTGCAGCCGTTTAAGAATATTTCAATTCTCTTGAGTATAGAAAAAGAGCTGACACACAGATTTAAAACATTCAAGACTGGTCCTAAGGTCTTGGATATAAATGTGTACAAATTCAAACAAATAGAAAATTATTTTAAATAAATAGAAAATTATTATTAATTTAAAATTGATATAGCCAGCAGCCATATCACCCTGCAACTCATAACAGGCAACCTACTGAAGCTAAGCAGGTGTGAGCCTGGTCCATACCTGGATGGGAGACCTCCTGGGAAAAACTAAGGACGCTGCTGGAAGAGGTGTTAGCGGGGCCAGCAGGGGGCGCTCACCCTGCGGTCAATGTGGGTCCTAATGCCCCAGTATAGTGACGGGGACACTATACTGTAAAGGCACTGTCCTTCGGATAAGATGTAAAACCGAGGTCCTGACTCTCTGTGGTCATTAAAACTCTCAGGGCGTTTCTCGAAAAAAATAGGGGTGTAACCCCAGCGTCCTGGCCAAATTTCCCCATTGGCCTTTACCAATCATGGCCTCCTAATAATCCCCATCTATAAATTGGCTTCACTACTCTGCTCTCCTCCCCACTAATAGCTGATGTGTGGTGAGCATTCTGGCGCACTATGGCTGCCGTCGCATCATCCAGGTGGATGCTGGAGGGGATCCCCATTACCTGTAAAGCCCTTTGAGTGGAGTATCCAGAAAAGCACTATATAAGTGTAAGCAATTATTATTATTATTTTTCCATCTGAATCTTAAAACCCAAATGAATGGTCCTTTGATTGAGAAATATATTTAAATGAGAGCAGTTATACCTTTCAGTTTTCTTCACTACAATATATTCTTTATGGGACTAATTAGGATAAATAATTGGATTTAAAGCAGCTTCCAGTCCTATTATGGTTGATCCCCTGCGCTGACTCTACCTCTGAGGGGTCGGAGACCTGCATCTGGGTCTCTGGGGGAGCCCTAATAACCATCAGGAGCTGGTCCACAGAGTCCACAGCGCACCGCAGGTCCTGGCACATCACATAGGCCAGCTTGAACAGCATTAAGGAACAGAACTGGGAAGTGGGAACCCAATCACCACACTATTCATCTCACACCAGCTGGTGATTTCCCATGGACTGGAATAAGCTGTTAAGAGATCTGCACAACAACCCAGGCATATTCAGTACAAACAAGAACACAAGCAGTTTGAACACAGTTTGACAATGAGCTGCAAAGATCTCAACAAAGCTGGACCTTCCTTTCACATCTACTGGAGCTACTGAGAAGCCTTGATTATGTTTTGACTGACAGCCAAGCTAAAAAAGCTGCACAAACTACTAACCTCATCTAACGTTTATTCGGCATTATCAGCTGGCCCTGCATAACTTTGTGTACTGCAGTTAGAGAACTCTCAAGAAATGAAAGCAGTGCAGCTTTGAGGATGAACCACCCACATCTTGATCTCTGCATGCCCACGGTGCCTCTGCTTTCTCTTGGCCCCAGAAGGGCAGACCAAAACACAAAAGGATATTTCTTGTTCTGCGGATCTTCTGTGAGGAGCTTGAGCTGTAGGCTACACTTGGCGATGAGCTCGTCCAGCCTCTCCTCAGACTGCCCAAGGTCCGACACCTCCTTCATCAGAGTCTGGTAACGGGCAGACGACACCCCGTCCATACAGCTGCCCCTGAGCGGGAGGACAGAACTCTTTCAGACAATTTCACTTACAGCACCACTCACTGAGGCATCCCTTTACTGCAAGAACTTTCCTACTGATGTAACGAGACTGATACAGATACACCCCACAACAAAACCACAGTCTTCACAACTCCTTATCACATGATGCTACTATGAAGATAATATTTTCAAAAGCAATTACTTTGGCAGAGCTACAAATCAAATCTGTTTGGTCTTTAAGAATTGTTGGACACCCTTTCCTGGTTCATGGAAGACCTGACTTATGTAAATTCAACCACTGTATGTAAAAACTTAACTTAGGTGAGACCTTGGACAGCTGTGAATAGACCCAACTCCCCAGGTTAAGTATGTAAGGGATCTGTTCCACAAGACCAGGGATCACAAAGTAAGGAATGAGCCTTTCTTAACCACTTGCAGCAGCCAGCAATCATATCATCCTGCAACTCACACCTGACAACCCGCTGAAGCTCAGCAGGTGTGATCCTGGTCAGTACCTGTATGGGAGACCTCCTGGGAAAAACTAAGGTTGCTGCTGGAAGAGGTGTTAGTGGGGCCAGCAGGGGGCGCTCACCCTGCGGTCCATGTGGGTCCTAAAGCCCCAGTATAGTAATGGGGACACTATACTGTAAAAGACGCTGTCCTTTGGATAAGATGTAAAATCGAGGTCCTGACTCTCTG